TGATTATAATAAAGCTTTAGGCCTAGATATCAGATTATATCATTTGATCTTAAGAGCTAACATTATTAATACATTATTTGTTAAGTATCCCAAATGTGTTAGGTTTTGCAGTCATTCCTTTCAAGGAGTTTAAATGTTACTAGGAAAATTTGTTTGTTTTCCCCATGCAATGGTTGAACCAAAGAGGTAAAAATGAATTGAAAGATTTTACAATATATTCTTTTACCTCTGCAGGTAAAATAAATATGAAAACCTATTAGTAGCTATTGCAGATAGTTTCAATTCAATTATTATCATTATTACTATTCTTATTTTGAGATGGAGTCTCACTCTGTTGCCCAGGCTGGAGTGCAGTGACATGATCTCAGCTCACAGCAACCTTTGTCTTCTAGGTTCAAGCAATTCTCCTGCCTCGGTCTCCCTAGCAGCTGGGACTACAGGCACGCACCACACACCCAGTTATTTTTATTTTATTTTTTTTTTTGTATTTTTAGTGGAGACGGGGTTTCACCATATTGGCCAGGCTGGCCTTGAACTCTTGACCTGAAATTATTTGCCCTCCTTGGTCTCCCAAAGTGCCGGGATTACAGGTGAGACCCACCACGCCTGGCCCCAAATCAGTTATTAATGTAAAGACATGTGAACATAAGCATTCTATAGTTTCACTTAGTTTCCCTCAACATTTTAAGAAACTTCATCACCATGTTTGACATATGTTCTGCCCTCCCAAATACTGTTAAGTTACTGTGTATCATTTCTTTATCACAAACTTTGACTTCCCCCACACTGCTTATTTCTGCTCTCGAAGACTCTTCTATGAAAACAGTTGGAGTCACTCATTAGTTGATGATGTTCAATGATCTATAATTGACATCAAAATCTGGAGACTCTTCTCAGTTCAGACATTGTTATTTTATATTCCAATACTTTGAGGGTTTTGAACGTTTTGCTTTGATGGATTTGTGGAATATACCGACCTGAACATCCTTGTTATTATATATTTGTCATATATAATTCTCATTTCACATGTTTCTGTGGCTTTTCTATCATTGCGTTACATTCCCAAGACAATTTTTAGGTTGGTATATTCTACAAATGTATCTTTTTCAAGATTACCCCAAATCCAGTGTTTCCATTAGAAGTTCTAGCTCAAGTATCTCTATTCATCTTTAGATTGAAATGGTGTGCATGAAATAACCCATCAAAGCCTTCAAAGTAGGATGAGGAGATCATTATTGTTCTTCTCACACTGTGGCATCTGGGGAAGGCTGATCCATATAAAGAGAGGGCTGGTTGGTAAGACCTATAAACATGTTCTTCTCATGAGCAATGTCCTTGTAAGTCATACATGCAACAGGGAGGCAAGTCTGGCTTGTGGCAGGATGCAAAACTTGGATGTCAAAGTTCAGATTGAGATTCCAGAGCTATGACTACCAGTTGTAAAAATTGCAACTATTTTCATATCCCCCTATAGTAATAATATTTCTTTGATTGTCCTCAAAAGATTATTGTAAGGATAAATGATGCATATGAAAAAGTTTTCAAACTTGTAAATTTCTAAACAAATTTCAATTGTTGTAATTACTGTTAATAACAACTGCAAATCATTAAGAATGGGTTAAAAATATAAACTCCCTCAAAACCTAAGATTCAAGGAAAAGACTTGAAAGAATACCTCCATTTATTAATTAATTTTTAACTGCTCAATCTATTGCATTTCCCATGATTTTGTTAGTTAAGTGACATGTTTTTTAAGAGCAATGTCTCCTAATTCAAAAATAACAATAAAATTCCTTTTAAGAACTAACAGGCCAGGTGCAGTGGCTCACACCTGTAATCCCAGCACTTTGGGAGGCTGAGGCGGGCAGATTACCTGAGGTCAGGAGTTCAAGACCAGCCTGGCCAACATGGCTAAACCCTATCTCTATTAAAAATACAAAAATTAACTGGGTATGGTGGTGCACACCTGTAATCCCAGCTACTTGGGAGGTTGAGGCAGAAGAATCGCTTGAACCCGGGAGGTGGAGGTTGCAGTGAGCTGAGATCGCGCCATTGCACTCCAGCCTGGGAGACAGAGCAAGACTCCATCTCAAAAAAAAAAAAAAAAAAAAAAAAAAAAAAAAAAAAAAAAAAAAAAAAGAGAGAGAGAGATTTGACAATCCAAGGTGGAAATAGATATCTATTTTCATCTGTTAACTTGTTTTATAAAGGTTGCATATTGGCTTATTTTAATAACTTGATTACTTAACTCTTAGAATGTGTCTTGTCTTTATTTGGAAGAATAACAAAGCATATTTTTCCAAGTATAAAACTATTGTACACTTTGAGAAAAAAATGAAAAAAAATGGTCACACATTTAGATCTAATCAGTCCCAATGGTGCTTTAGTTTATATTTAACTTTCTTCATTGTGAAACTGAAGTTCCAATATGGCATCATATTAAGACAACAACAACAACATGCCCTAGTTTTATGGCTTTCAATGGCTGTTTTAAAAAAGAATTATTTGGATTGGCTGCAATAGTATATGAAGAGATAAGTTAATCAAATATTTTTCCTATATTGTGCCACTTTAATATGCTAAACTGTGTACTTCATCATCTTTCAAGGAAAAGCACACAGATTCACAGACACATTTTTCTTGCAATAGAAACATCCAGCAAGACAGCTCTGAATAGCGTGATTAACTGAAATAATGGTGGCCCTTAGGGTTTTAGTCTTTTCCTACTTCATAATATTTTAGGTGTGTTATTACCTTAGGTGAGCTCTATTCCCCAAGAAAGATGACGCCAAATTAATTCTCTGTGACTTATGTCATCGATACAGCTAGGATAAAAATAAAACTCTGTGTCTCTATCCTTTATGAGATTTTAGGTAAGTATTTTTTTTTTAAAACTTATTTCACAAAAACTGCTGAATTTTCTATACCCTGATAATGATTGTGGACTCTTAGATATAAATCTTCACACACAGACAAATGAGATTAAACACACTCAGGCACAGACACACACGCAAATTCATTTACCGTGGTGAATTCAAGAACACTATTTTATTGAATTCTCCCTGATACAAGATGTAATAAAATGAGAAATTCCTTCAAAGTAAATGTGTCTTTCCCTTACTTCAGTCAAGCATACCATGCAGTGAATGATCACTGTTCCATTTCTAAGTTTTTAGGATAGGTTGCATTTGCTACCTTGCTCATTCCTGCCAAGATTCCATCAGTCACAGTTTTTCAGGAAGTTTATGTCTAAAAATCACCAAAATTCCTTTTGTTTGTATGAGTAAAAACGACTTCAAAGATAACAGATTAAAATAATCTTTGAACAGTAGCCAAAAATATACAAAAATGACACTATAATCTGGCTAAAAATGATTTGATACATAGATGAATTTCATTGGAATACACTTGTTGATGAAATAATAAAAGATTTTTTGAAGCTATATAATTTTACTAAGTTTTTAAAAATATACTATCTTCTTAGAGCATGCTAGTGTACAATATTCTTAATTACTTTTGGTTAAGAAAGCAATTAACTAATTTCTGCTTTGTTCTCATTTTCTCTGGAATTTATTAAAATCTATTCAATAAATGCATTTCTGAAAGTGATACAAAGCAGATGTGCCCATAAAATAAAAATAAAATAAATCAAATGGAACCACTTAGACATACATTATACAAAAAGCTGTATCTTAAGCAGTAAAATTTTATTGTAGTAGTTGATTATCCTGATAGAGAAAACATTTTAAATACTGAAATTGGTGAAATAGATATCAATGAAATAGTGAAAATAGTGCAATTTTCTAATGGAAAAATTAGAGAAGTAATGAGAGAAAATGAGAAGAACAATTGAAATATAGTCAAGAGCAGTCAGTCCAGAACAACTGCAGAACCTGGTGTTTTCAAAGAGGGTTATGTGATGTAGTATGTTGTGATTTATTAATGTGTGTTTTCCACAAAGGTTTTATAATCAAAGAAATTTGGGAAATTCTGCATCTCATATTCTTCTCTTGAGAGTCACAGTGTATTTAAAGTTTCTAAGAAGTCTTACATTATTTGGACCTGTGCACATACTTTTCATTGTGGTAAAATACACGTAACATGAACTTTACCATTTTAAAGTGTACAGTTTGGTGGCTTTAAGTACATTTAGAATATTGTGCAACCATCACTGCTATTTATCTAGTCCAAGCTATATAGCTTTATTTTATTTTATTTTATTTTATTTTATTTTATTTTATTTTTTGAGAGACAGAGTCTCACTCTGTTGCCTAGGCTGGAGTGCAGTGGAGTGATCGTGGCTCCCTACAACCTCTACCTCCCGAGCTCAATCAATCCTCTCACCTCAGCCTCCCAAGTAACTGGGACTAAAGGTGCATGCCACTATGCCCAGCTAATTTTTGTATTTTTTATAGAGATGGGGTTTTGCCATGTTGCCGAGGTTGGTCTCAAACTCCTGGCCTCAAGTGATCCTCCCACCTCAGCCTCCCAAAGTGCTGGGATTACAGGCCCAGATATATAGTTTTTTGATCATTAATATGACTACAAATCCATTCCCTTTGGGAATATCTTTTAATTTTAGTGTGTCTAGAGCATATATTCATAAAAAAGCTGACCAAATCCAATCTTCTCATTTTAAAAATAAAAAAATTAAAATATGACTGAGAAGTAAGATGTCTTGCTTGAGATCACAAAGTAGTTGGAACAGAGCCAGTGTCATCCAGATTTCCCATTTCCAAGAACAGGGTCTTTTCTATTTCAAGGTATTTTCCCCTTATCTCCATTTGTATTGTCTGGTCTAATGATCTAGTGATCTAAAAGCAATACTTCATGATTTTACCTAGAAGAACTCTGGATAAAAACAAGCATCTTTTATCTTTAAAAAGGTATCACTTTAAAAATGTACACAGTATTTGTGTTATAACTCTCTCATTGCGATTTTCTTATGAGAATTTTCATTGTAAGAATTCTCTTTTTAATTCACATAATTCTGTTCTTAGGTCTTTTTAAGATCATGGCTGATAAAACTCCGTACCTTACTATGGAAGAAATCACAAGGACCATTCATATTGGACCAAGTAGACTAGGGCATCCTTGCTTCTATCATCAGAAGGATATAAAACTAGAGAACTTCATCATAGAGCAGGGTGAGCAAATCATGCTCAACTCAGTTGAAGAGATTGATGGAGAAATAATGGTGAGCTGTACAGTAGTAAGGAATCATCAAAATCACTCATTTAATTTGCCTTTGTCACAAGAAGGAAAATTCTACGAATGTGAAGATGAACGTATTTATACTCTAAAGGAGATTGTTGAATGGAAGATTCCTAAGAACAGAACAAGAACTGTAAAACTTACAGATTTTTCAAATAAGTGGGACTCAACGAATCCGTTTCCTAAAGACTTTTATGGTACCCTGATTCTCAAGCCTGTTTATGAAATTCAAGGTGTGATGAAATGTGAGTATCCACTGAGAATGGTGTTCTATGAGCATGAACATTGTGGAGTTTGGGAAAGAAAGGTTTTAAAGGATGAAGAATGAGAGTCTGTCTTTATTTCAACTATTAAACCTCTGAGAGTTAGATTCCTCATCGACCAATAAGCAAACCATATATCCATTCCAAGGATCAAATTGAATAATGAATATACAAGTATATTGTAAATTGTACGGTACTATTCACATGTGAGGTGCTATAACTATCAGGAACAGACAGATCAAACTACTAATTTATTTTTGTTACTGCCAGTTAAATATGACTAGAAAAGAGCTACTTTTAAAAGATAGAACATATTTAGTGAGAATGAGGCTTTCTTGTATGGAGGTGGTCAAAAAAGAGTAAATATGGAAAGTTTCCTTAATGCATCCCTTACTTCTATTTTTCTGACAGTCTTTTTTTTTTGTTCCATCCATCCATTATTGACTATAAATCTCTACTATCCCAGAGCTCCTCTGTCTTAAGAGAAAATGATTTGATAAATTAATTCACATATAGGCATGGTGGTTTTTTTTTTTTTTTTTGTGACGGAGTCTCGCTTTGTTGCCAGGCTGGAGTGCAGTGATTCTCCTGCCTCAGCCTCGCAAGTAGCTGGAACTACAGGTGCCCGCCACCACGTTCAGCTAATTTTTTTTTTTGTATTTTTAGTAGAGATGGGGTTTCACCATGTTAACCAGGATGGTCTCGATCTCTTGACCTTGTGATTGACCCACCTCAGCCTCCCAAAGTGCTGGGATTACAGGTGTGAGCCACCACGCCCGGCCCAGTGTGTTTTAATATGCAATCTTCATAGAATTATTTGCATTTTGAAATAGGAATATCTGGAGAGAGCGTTGTTACTTCAAAGGTGTTAATACCTTGAGTTTTCAGGATTATGACACATGAGTAGGATGGATAATAAAGAGTTCTGAACTTGGAGTCCTAGATTCTAATTCTGGATCAGTAACTTAATAGGTGTTGGTTTTCAGTGCACCATTTAGACTCCCTGTTTATGCAAAGAAAATGGTGATACTCTTTTGCCTACCTTTTAAAGTAGTGTTGAGAGAGAAATTAAGGTTTTATTAAGGTACTATTATATTATACACTTGAGAACAGAAAACAGTATATAAAAATGTTTGTTCAAAAGGTCCTCCTTAGGTATCTTTTAAAAAATCTATTTTTCTCTGGACTCATTAATACTGTTGGCCACATACAATTATTGAAAAATCAATATGAATATTTTGGCAAGTATTAGAATTGTTCCTAAATTCTGTCACAAACAAATATTTAATCAGAAATTAATCAATTCAATTTGAACTGAAGGTATAGGCAAGGAATTCCACTTAATGAATGCTAAAAATGAGTATTTTTAGTATTACAAAAAATTGAGGCAACGGCAAATTGTAGACCCCACATTAATGTTCTGTTAGCGATCCCTAAATGTGCAGTTGAGATGAGTAATTGAGATTTCTTTGATTTTTATCAGTAACAGTGTTTTCCCATTTTAAAATGTGTTACTTTCTAAAACTATTGGCATCTCCTGCCTATTGCATAGTTACAAATGAGGGTAAACCTACAACCTAAGCAGCACATGGATAAAGTGATTACAATATTTATTAAATTAGGAAGCAAGAAAGCCTACTTTGCAGAAATGGCATTTAAATGAAGCCTCAAAAGATGCATAGGAGGTAATCAGGCAAAGAAGTAGGGGACAAGGTTGGAGAATTCCAACCTTGTCATTAAGTGGACAAGCGGTGGTATGGGGGCAGCAGATGAGAAAGGGATGGGAGCACTGGTGTACCTGGTGTGAGAAAAAAACGGAGAGGGCAGGTTGAAACAAATATGAACACATGAAATGGGGAGTGGAATCAATCATGGAGGGTCTTGAAGTATATACTAAGAGGCTAAAATGTGTCATAAGGGCAAATCAGTAAAGGGCTTTAAGCAGGGAAAGACAAGAACAGAGGAGAGTAGTGAGGCCAGTTGAGTGCCAGGGTACAGGAAATTTATACAACAGAGACAACAGTGGGAAAGACAGAGAATCATAGTTGGGCTTTATGGGTATTTAAGAAGTACAATGAGCAAAATGTGAAGGTCTGTTGGAAGGAGAAAGACGCCAAACTTCTTCCCAGCTTCTTGTCTTGATGCACTGGATGGAAGTGCAGTCTATTGAATGTCATCATCAGAAGATCAGGGGATATTAACGTATTTGTTTAGGTAGGACTTAACTGTGAATTTATGTTAACCAAGACCCAGAAGAAAGCCCTTGGTTGAAATAATACTGTTTACAAATTGTTTTAGTCTAATTCCCATTATTTAACACTATTTAAACTAAATTCTCATTTTAATTATACTGGATATTTAATTTCATAGGGATTATTTTAAACATTAGTTCTTATTGTATAGCAATTTCAGCACAAAAACTGCATGAGACTGGTTGCATGTGTATTGACTGCAGAATATTTCCTGGAAATAGAGGATGGGTGTCTTATCACAAATACCTAATTTAAAATATTTTTATTGTTGTAGGCATTTTTGCCCTGAATATAAAATATAGACCATGTTTTGAATCCATTGTGGTTTTGTTTTACATGATTCTTTCTTAACTTGAAGATTCAAACTTTCCTTGAGGTCAAGGAATGTTACTAAATTGCTTTCCACAGGCCTTGAGTGTCAGTCCAAACCCTTCTTGGCTAGAATGCTTCCTTTCCAAAGTGACAAGAAAAAGAGTAGGTGTGAGCAGGGAATTCGAAGTTTTACAGAAACCTTAGGGGAAAGAGCAAGATGAAAAATAGTGAGAACTACAGAGAGCCATGAAATACTGATTTGCTGAAAAGAGAACATAACAAATATGTAGAGATAAGAGAAAATATAAGATATTCTACTCTTATTGCTAGTTTTTTATTATTTATGTGAAATTTTGAGTTTCATAAAAAATAAAAGTGTTTAAATAAAGTATTTGTTTCTGAAAACTTGGCCAAAATCTGTTATAGATCTGAAAGTCCCTAACCCTCATCACACATTTAATGATTTAGAAAAAAATATCCTTCTTCGGAAAATAGATACACATAACAGTGTAAACTTCAAACTACTAGTCTTACATAAGTCACTTCACGATGTGTATTGTGCCTTTCTCAGGAAGATGAAATTCATATTAGCATATTAAATGGAATACATAATATTTGCAAATGAAAAAATTGAGTGAGCTATTTAAATTTGCCTCTGAAAGAGAGAGGTCTTGACCATTAAAACTTTTAAAATAGTGTCGTGTTTTGACATATAGATTGATAATTATTTCTTCCCTAAGTGAAAATTTCAGAGTTGTGTAGCTTTCTTTTATGAAAAAACCTCAATACCTGTCAAATTTGGGGGGAATGGTTTTAGCCCAGATATGAAAAAAGTTAATTCATTTTATGAGCAGAGGGCTGAAATCACACAAGTGAAAAGTGGTATCAGAAAGGTTGTGTCTGCATATTGTATAATCAGTGATACGTGAATAGCAGAAAAATAACACTTTGGTCTTTAGAATACTAAGACTTCTTCTTTCTCTCATTTAATTTTTAAAAATAATTTTAATGTTTATCAAAGTCGAAAAAGTCAAACAGTAAAAGGAATTATAACAACGTTATCAGCAAAACTTTGTGCCCTTGACACGAGGGCCAAGTTTTCCTCATATTCTGTTCTTCTGAGGTAGTGCCTTTAAATATTTTTCCTCTACTTTCTGGCACACTTCTAAATAATAAAGGAATATTGCTCTTTTTCAAGTCATCAAGTTTAAGATAGTAACTATTGACTTTCACATATGACAATGAAGACTTAATTCTCTTATATTCTTACTTCCCCTTCCGTATATTTTCAGTACAAGTTATGGCTAAACATTAATATTTTCATTATTGTGACAATTCACTGCTCAACCAAGTGGTGTATAATGACTATAATTCCATTTCTCCATCACTGTTTTTCTGTGATGATGACTTTATCGTTTTCTTTGCTTGATTTTCTTCAATTTTATCCTAATTCTTACAGCATTCTTCAACTCTATAAAAAAAGGCCACTCAGTGTAATTTTCCAAAGAGCCCAAACTGTCAGGAAGGTTACCTTTTCTATTAATTTGTTTTCCTGAATGTATTCCTTTGTAACTCTTCATTCTCATGTTCCAATTGGAATTGCTTACTCTTGAGACCAACTGCACAGGTGCTGTCCTGGGAATTCCATTTAAAATCATCCTGGTGATTGACTGTTGACTTGTGTTTCTGTTGACTAACTGTTTCTGAAATCAAATAACTAACTCCTTCTTGACTTTCTTCCAATTTTGATGGAGACCAACCTTCACTTGCTTCCTGAGAACAGTGCATGGAATATCAAGTACTTAGAAAGCCTGAATGTTTGAAAAATATTCTATACACATATAAGACTGATAGTTTGGCTACTTACAGAATTCCAGGTTGAAAATAAATTCCCCTCAGAATTTTGAAAACTTTACTCCCTTATCTTCCACTATCCCATATCGTCTTGGAGAGATTATATGTGGTATTCTGAAGTTTCACAGTAATGTGACTTCTGGTGGGTCTGTTCTTTCTTTGTGATGACAGTTTTCAATCTGAATATTTACGTGCTTTTTGTCTGGAATAATTTCTCTCATAATGTCCGCTCAATTGTATTTTCTCTTCTCTCTGTCTTTAATTTCAAATCTCATACTGAAATTCCCATACCGATCTTCTAGGCCCTTTTTTCTTTTTCTGTTTTACATCTTTTTGTCCTTTGTTTATCTTCAGGGAAAATTTTCTTAACTACATTTCCAACTGTTTTAATGAATTTTTAATTTTAGTTATATTTTTAATTTCCAAGAGTTAAAATTTTAATTTCCAAGAGTTATTTCTTACATCATTGTACATATTTTACTCTGTTCTTGTTTTTAAAATACAACATTTTATCTCTCTGAGAATATTTTAGATAATTTTTTTTTTTTTTTTTTGTACGGAGTC